GTTGTTATGGTTATGTTCCATCCATTGCAACCAACCATCCAGTGGGTTTTCAGAGGCTTTAAATTTCACAAGAGGAGATTGCCCATCCTTCTCCCACAGAGCAGCTGGTGGATTCGAACTGCATGCCTTTGGGCCTGCAGCAGATCTTCTTCCCAATAGGCCACCAGAGAGGTTACTTTATCCCCCTTTTTTTTTCCTGGTATGACCTTGAGTTACATAATTCCGTTTATCTCATTGGGTGTCAAATTTTCCTTTGTAAAATGATTCTTTCCATCTGTCACAGATGAAATTATGTCCCCTGGCTGGGCTGTGATTCTCAGTGGTGTGGCAGCGATGCGGTGATGTCACTTATCAGTGATGTAACTAACTATGGAGTCATCATCGCCTGGGATGGACATCTTCCATTTCCGAGATTCTGTGGTTAGTGTCAGTGTCACTCGTCACTTGGGCATTTAGAGCTCAATGTTGACCACCTAGTGACGAGATGCTGGTGGTGACCTTCAGTCTATGGGAGCCTCTTGGGTCGTTTCTTGTAAAATAATCTTTATGGTTTTCCTTGTTAGGTTGATCTTAAAAGCCATCTTCTACATTTGAAGCCTGAATTTAATGGAGCAAGGAGTTAAAGGGGTGAGGGGGCCTGTGCAAGCGTTTCCATAGATACGGGAAAGTAGTTTCAGAAATAGGACTAGAAGACATCCTAGATGCAGTCTGGCCACTTTCTGACAGGTCGGGACCATGTAACAGTGACTTGGTTGTTGCCTGGTGTGTTCATAAGTGCTGTTGAGTCAAGTCTGACTCATAGTGACCCCATGAGCAATAGACCTGAGCTCTGTCCTATCCTATCCTATCCCTTCTTAACCCTAACAAAGTTGAGTCCATTGTCACAGACCCCGCATCAACCCATCTCATTGAGCATCTTCCTCTCCTTCGCTGACCCTCCGACTTTCTAAACACGATGTCCTTAGTAGTAGTATGTATGTATATGTGTGTGTATGTGTGTGTGTGTGTGGGGGGTGTACCATAAAATTGAATCCGACTGGTACAGGAGGAAATTGTCCTTCCTTCCCAGCAGAGCAGCTGGTGGATTTGAACCGCTCACCTCTGGGATTGCAGTAACAATGTCCTTTTTTTAGGAAGAGCCTTTCCTAACAACAAGTCCAAAATATATGTGGCCAAGCGTCATCAACTTTGTGTCCAAGAAGCACTCTGGCTGCACTTTCTCCAACACGTATCTATCTGTTTGTTCTTATGGCAGTCCGTGGGTTATTCAGTACTTTGTTCCAGCATCACAACTCAAATGCCTTGATTCTTGTTCTGCCATCCTTATGTTCAGCTCTCAGATGTGTAGCAGGTGATTGAAGAGACCATGGCCTGAATCAGGCACACCTTAGTCTTTAGAGTGACACCATTACTCTTCAGGACTTTGGAGAGATCCTGACAGCAGACTTTGCCAATGCAGATGTAATTGTCTGGTGCCACTGTAGCGAGTGAAGCATTGCAGATGATGGCTTTAAAGAAGGAGGAGTTCTTTTCTCACAGCTGAGGAGGCTAGAAGTTCTGTTTCTCCCCATGTTGACCCACTGGTCACCATTTTGAGTTAAGTCAAGCTCATGTTGACTCCAGTGATTTGTGCTCCTTGGGATTTTCAGGTACTGCTTTTTCAACATTAGATTGCCAGGCCTTTCGTCTGAGGCACCTCTGAGTAGATTTGAACTTCCAACCTCTCAATTAATGACTGAACATATTAACCATTTGCACCACTCAGGGACTTCTCAGCTATGCAGCAGCTCTCATGGGTCCTGGCCGTGTTCTGTTCAAGAATCCCATGTCTCTCTATACAAGGATGTCTTGGTAACTTCAGAAGATACATTCTCTGGGCATAAAAATCCTACAACCTTTAGCCTGCCTTAGAAGTCTTATTCTTAGGTATTTTGGAGAAGAGAAAAAACTCTCTAATCAAACTGACTTTTTAAAAATTATTTTTGTCCAGGGAGCTCTGGTGGCCTAATGGCAAGATGTTGCACTGCAATCCCAGAGGTACGTGGTTCAAATTCACCAGATGCTCTGCTGGAGAAGGAGGGGGCAATCTCCTTCTGTACCAGTCAGATCTGATTTGATGGTACACGAAAATAATACAATAAAAAAATTATTTTTGTCCTTTAGATGTCAGTACAGTGCAGTGACATGCCTTTCACACTGACCCCCACGTTCACAGTGCACGCCTTCATGGTCTTGGTGCAAAGGAATGTGCGTCAGGTTTCATTAATTCTGTCTTCTTGTGGCTCTCATATGTCTTAATTGAGACATGCGGTGTTCACATAGCCAGCCAGCATGAGGCCACCACCCTGCCTCTCTGACTGACCGACTGGAACATCGGGGAGGGAGGAAGGGGGTCTTAGAAACAGGTTACTTTGACGAGGCTTCAGCCAGGCCCCCATTCAGGAGGCTCTTCTGCTAAAACACTTGAAGGTTTGGGGAGTTTTCTCCATAAAAGGAAGCCAGTCATTCCACTGGAGCTAGACTCTGCTTCCCTCCAAATGCCGCACCTGCTCCCTCCTCCCCCCAGGACGGGCTCACCTCCTCTTTCCACACGGGAGCCTGCTAAGTATTTGAAAATAAAATATTCGTGATGTGTTTCCTCTCCTCTTTGTTTTTCTGGCGAAACAGTGCCAGGAGGAAGCTAGTGAACGCTGCTGCTGCTG